TCAGCACCAGTACCTCCAGCGGCTCCAGAACCTCCAGCACGAGCACCCTCAGCAGCTCCAGAACCTCCAGCTCCAGCGCCACCAGTACTAGGCCCTCCAGCAGCTCCCGAACCTCCAGCGCCAGCACCCTCAGTAGCTCCAGAACCTCCAGCGTCAGTACCGCCAAGCTCAGCACCCCCAGACCCCTCACACTCAGGCTCAGCACCACCAGGCTCCACACCCTCAAGCTCCGCACCCTCAGGCTCAGCACCCCCAGGCTCAGCACCCCCAGGCTCCGCACCCCCAGGCTCAACACCCCTAGAAGTAGCACTCCGAGAAGGACCACCCTCAGTAGGACCTGAGTCACCAGTGACCTCAACCGGCGCAGTCAAGGGAGGAGGGTCTACCTGAGAAACACCTGAAGGAGCAGGACCAGGAGTGGGGAGGGGGTCTACCTGGGGAGCACCTGGAGCGAGGAAGAGCGGCGGGGGGGGAGCGGGGCAGTGCGGTAGGGGAAGAGACGGTAAAAGGGAACCGACTCGTCGAACGTGACGTCCTGAGATGCAAAGACACGGCGCGAGGTGGGATGGTAAAACTGCCAACCAGGCGCGTCAGGGACAAAGCCAAGGAAGACACATGGAACAGCGCGGGCGGAGAGCTTGTCCGCGGTGGTATCGCGGACAAAGGCACGAGCACCCCAGACCCGGAAACGCGACGCATCACCAACCTTCCCCGTCCACAGCAGTGTGGGCGAGGTCTCCGGCAAGGAGATACGGGGCCAGAGGTTGAGCTGATGCGCGGCGTACCGGACCGCAAACGGCCACAGGAAATGGGGGGCAGCCGCATGGATCATGGAGGTACGAGCGACCTCCATGACTAAGCCAATGCGACGCTCAGCAACCCCATTCTGCTGTGGAGAGGCCGGAAGCGTGAACGACTGGGTGATGCCGTGCTCCGCACAGTAGGCTGCCAAGAGGTCAGAGGAGAACTCACCACCTCTGTCAGAGTGCAGACGCAGGACAGGAAAGTCCCGCCGGAACCGCTCGCGGAGCTGGAGACGAACAGCGCGGATCCAAGGGATCAAAACATCAGGGACGTCCCCCTTGCTCTGCAAGGGGAAGACCGTGGTGTAACGCGTGTAGTCGTCGACAACCAGCAGGAAGTACCGCTCGCGGCCCTGTCCCTGGACGCGGGCTGGGCCCCACACGTCCAGGTGGAGCGTCTGCAGTGGAGCCTCTGTGGGAGGAAACGAGGAGGAGTGAGGAGCGGCGCGCTACCGCCCCTCGACGCAAGGAATGCAGGGCGGCGCAGGCGAGGGAGGGAGGGCAGGCAGAGACCTGGGAAGACCAGAGACCAGGGAGCGAGAGTGCATGCTACGCAGGCGAGGCAAGGAGGGGTGACCAAGACGGTGGTGCCACAGGAGAGTGTCGTGCGACAAAGCGCGACACTCGCAGGGGGCCGCCTGCTGACCAGACGTAGACGCAGACGCAGCTACCTGAGGGGACTCAGTGGTCAGTGTGTACAGACTCGAGCCAGGTGCACGGGTGAACGTGGCCAAGTGCCGGCCCGTCCTAGCACACGTACAGTGAGTCACTCGCTGACTCGCAGGAGTGAACTGGTCAACCTCCCGATCCTGGAGGTCAGCTCCACTCACCAAGTTCGTAGAGAACGAGGGGAGGTAAAGACCTGACAGCGAGCCGGACGGGACGGCCGGACACGGCAGAACCGTGGAGTAGTGGGCAAGGACTGGACCCCCGGAGGGGTCCGCCAGGGAGACTGGAACTGGCCGACTAAGCGGCGTGAGTGTGGTGCAGTCGCGAAAGAAGGAGCGAGAAGCTCCTGAGTCAAGGGTGAAGGTGTGCGAGACCGTAGTGGGCGCAGTACCAGAGAGAGCAGACTCACCAGCACCTGAAGCCACGGCCTCACCAGTACCTAGAGCAGTAGACGTACTAGCACCGAGAGCAGCAGCCTCACCAGCACCTAGAGCAGGAGACGCACTAGCACCTAGGGCAGCAGCCTCACCAGGGTCAGGCGGTACGCACAGATAACAGGCACGATCAGCACTAGTAGGCAATGCATACATGGCAGTGAGAATAGCATCATAGTCAAGCGCAAAGATATCTACCCTCTGTCCATGCAGCTCCAGCCAGGTGGGGAGCTCAGCCTCGTCGCCAAACACTGTGCGCCAGTCGTCGCTCAGACGGGCGAAGCAGCGGGACTGTGTGTGACCAAGCGTCCCACAAGGCTGACCAGTCCTAGCACCTGTGCGAATGACGTACGGGCAGCGAACTGTACGGGTAGACCTGCTACACTGAGCGTACCACTCCTGGAGCTGCCGGGGCGTAAGTGTCTCACGTGGACGCCCCTGCAGCTGCAGCTGGCCACTGCCAGACGCTCCCAACTGACCAGCTCCAGGGCGACAGCTACGACGGCTACTGCGACAACCCCAGCTAGTATACCACTCACTAAGCTGCTGGGGCGTCAGAGGCTCGCGTGAACGTCGCTGGAGCTGCATCTGGCCACCTGCCAGTAGCAGTAGCAGCAGCAGTAGCGCGGGCAAGGCAGGCGCGGCAGGCAGGCAGGCAAGCAGGCAGGCCGGCAGGCCGGCAGGCAGGCAGGCAGCCAGGCAGGCAGGCAGGCAGGCAGACAGGCAGGCAGGCAGGCAGGCAAGCAGACAGACAGGCAGGCCGGCAGGCAGGCAGGCAGGCCGGCAGGCAGGCAGGCAGTCGCGCAGGCAGGCAGGCAGGCAGGCAGGTAGGCCGGCAGGCAGGCAGGCAGCCAGGCCGGCAGGCAGGCAGGCAGACAGGCAGGCCGTCAGGCAGGCAGGCAGGCGCTCACCAAAGGCTGGAAGAGCAGGCGCTCACCGGGCGAGCAGGGCCGGCGCTCGACGGGCGGCGGCCGAGTAGGCGCACGACAGCGGCGGCGTCGGGGCCGCAAAACCGGCTGCAGAGCAGGGCCGAAGCAGCTGCAGGGCGGGGCCGCGTCAGCGGCAGGTCGGGGCCGTGGCAGCTGCAGGGCGGGGCCGCATCAGCGGCAGGTCGGGGCCGTGGTAGCTGCAGGGCGGGTCCGCATCAGCGGCAGGTCGTGGCCGAGGCAGAGGGCCGCGCGCGGCTCGGCGCGGGCTGCGCTGACAGCGCGCTGAGCTGCTGCAGGCCGCGCGCGGCCGCGCTAGGCAGTAGCGGGCTGTTGCGGGCCGCGCGCGGGCCGCGCGAGGCAGTAGCAGGCCGCGCGCGGCTCGGCGCGGGCTGCTGCGGGCCGCGCGCGGGCCTCGCGAGGCCGTAGCAGGCCGCGCGCGGCTCGACGCGGGCTGCGTGGGCTCGGCGCGGGCTGCGCGCGGCAGCTGCGGGCTGCGCGCGGCTCGGTGCGGGCTGCGCGCGGCTGCAGCGGGCTGCGCGCGGCTCGGCGCGGGCTGCGTGGGCTCTGTGCGGGCTGCGCGCGGCTGCAGCGGGCTGCGCGGGCCTGACGGGCGTGTAGAGGGGGCGCGCGGGCCTTACGGGCCTCTAGGGGCGGCGCGCGGGCCTTACGGGCCTCTAGGGGCGGCGCGTGGGCCTTACGGGCCTCTAGGGGCAGCGCGCTGGCCTAAGGCAGCAGGAGGCAGCGCTAGGGCTGCTGGACGGCGCGCATAGTGCAGCACGTCACAAGGCAAGGCAAGGCAGGCAGGTACGTGGGGTAGCGCGGTAACCGCAGCGGTAGGTGGGCCCGAAAAAAAAACGGTCCTACGGACCTTAGTGCTCTGATACCATGTCAGAATCTAGCAGCAGGAATGAATGAACTAACAGGATGCAGGAGTACAAGTAGTAAACCATAATTGGGTGGTACCCCATATGGGCTACCCCACTACAGCCTAAACAATATGCAGCACATATAGTTTGACAGATAGGCAACGAACGGCGGCAGCGACAACAGTTGCAGTGACAACAATCAAGATAAAGCCTACGAGCCCGCCCCCGTTCAACCCTACAGACAAGAGTACTACAGTTAAGGGGTGGTTGTTCGGCGTGGAGGTGTTCTTCACTGGAGCGAATGTCAACGATGGCGCCACGCGTATTAATGACGCGGTATCGCTTCTTCGAGGTCCTTGGACACGGGGACCCCGACAGGTGTGACACATGCGGCAGACGGGACTTCGGACTCTGCTATTGGGAGGGCATCATCAATATTCGGTGTGGCCACAATTCGCACGTGGAAACAGTGGGGCGCAGCCTTACGAGAGCGTTTCGAGCATGTATCCGCCTCGGAACACGCTCGCATGAGGCTACGTACCTGGTCGCAGTTGGCTTCTGTTCAAGACTACACGGCGTCGTTTATGGCGCTCGCGGACCAAGTGGACGACATGGCGGAGGCGGAGCGGTTGGATAAATACATCAGCGGCCTCAAGTACGAGATACAGTTCGAGGTGCGCCGAAACCGCCCGACAACATTCAACGAAGCCGTCCGATTGGCCGAGAGCACAGACGCGCTGATGCAGTGGGCGAGATCGAGTTCTCGGGAGGGAAACCGATTTCGTGGACAGACCCAGCGGGCCACGATTAACGGAGTCCATGCGCCAGACCGCCCTTTTACAGGGTTGTGTTTTAAGTGCGGGAAGCCGGGCCACATGTATAAAGACTGCCCCGACAGGACGCAGGGAAAGAGGATGACGGGAAGGAGCCGGGAAATGGGAAGAGTCAGTAACAGACGGGCCCCTTACTGACTGTACTCTATCGCCCGAACCCCACCATCCCCACCAAGTCGTGGTTCCGATTCATGCAATCGATCGCACTCGGACGAATAACGGGGGTGAACATGTGGATCACCCTGTGCTGGTTGTTGGCACGGTTGTTAAGAAAAAAATAAAAATGTTCGTCGATGGCGGGGCTAGCCATAGCCTCTTCAATCTGGCGACAGCAAAAAAATGCAAGTTGCAGCTGGACAGGTGTCTGCCCGAAATCGACGCTCGCCTCGTGGATGGGACGCCGCTGGCGATAATGGAGGAGACGCGGACGGTGCGGATTGAGTGCGGCGACGATTTCGGCTTCAGCATGAAGTTTCTCGCGACGACGTTGGACGGATGCGACGTGCTCCTGGGACGCGATTGGCTGCGACGGCACAACCCGATAATCGATTGGACGAAGGGATCATGCAGCATCAGCAAAAACGGGGGGCTGATTACTCTGCCCGCGTGGACTCCGGACTGCATCGAGTCTACATGCGTCAAAGCCATCACTATTACACGCCACGTCAACAGGGGTGCGCAACTGTTCGCCGTATGCTTGCGCGAGTTGGCAGCCGACACCGACGGAAACGACATCGAGAAGCTGTGCGCAGCTGTACCACCTGATTTAGCGGAGCTGATTCGACAATACCCCGACATCTTCCCCGACGACCTGCCACCTGGACTACCACCCGAACGCCCCGAGGACCACAAAATCCAGCTGGAGCCCGGCGCGCAACCGACTGTTCGTACACAGTGGCGGTTGACTCAGCCCGAACTTGCGGAGCTTCGAAGTCAACTTGAGTCACTGTTGGAGAAGGGCTTCATCCGACCCAGTACTTCGCCCTTCGCCGCACCGATCCTGTTCACACCGAAGAAGGACGGCGGCATTCGCATGTGCATCGACTATCGCGCGCTTAACCGGGTTACCATCAAATCTCGCTATCCCATCCCACGCACCGACGACCTTCTCGACCAACTTCGCGGCGCTCGCTACTTCTCGAAGATCGACCTACGCTTCGGTTACCACCAGATCAGGGTCTTCGCTGACGACTGTCACAAGACCGCCTTCCGAACCCGCTACGGCAGTTACGAGTTCACCGTGATGCCTTTCGGCCTCACGAACGCGCCATCAACATTTCAACGCACCATGAACAGGGTATTTCGCGACCTGCTGGACAAGTGTGTTATCGTCTACTTGGACGATATTCTGATTTTTAGCAGGACACGCGAGCAACACCTCCGCGACCTCGACGCAGTGTTTAAGCGGCTACAAGACAACCGGCTCATCACCAAGGGTTCTAAGTGCGAGTTCTTTAAGCAAGAGTTGGAGTTTTTGGGGCACGTCATCTCACGCGACGGCATCAAAATCGACCCGAAGAAAATCAAGACCATCCAGGAGTGGAAGGCCCCGACTAATGTCACGGAACTTCAGAGTTTTCTGGGGTTTGTGAATTATGTCCGGCGGTTTATCCCGAATATGGCGGGGATAACCGGCCCGCTGACCGACTTGCTGCACAAGGACAAGAACTTCGTTTGGGGGGAGGAAGCTGAGGCGGCTTTTCAGGAGTTGAAGCAGTCGCTGGTGTCCCCTCCGGTTCTTCGCATCGCCGACCCATCCAAGCCGTTCGAAGTTGTCACCGACGCCTCAGATTTTGCCATCGGCGCAGTGCTGCTCCAGGATTTTGGCAACGGCTTACAACCGATCGCCTACGAGTCACGCAAGTTGCAGGCAGCCTTTGACGTCCTGAGACGCAAAGACACGGCGCGAGGTGGGGTGGTAAAACTGCCAACCAGGCGCGTCAGGGACAAAGCCAAGGAAGACACAGGGAACAGCGCGGGCGGAGAGCTTGTCCGCGGTGGTATCGCGGACAAAGGCACGAACACCCCTCCCAGACCCGGAAACGCGACGCATCGCCAACCTTCCCCGTCCACATCAGTGTGGGCGAGGTCTCCGGCAAGGAGACATGGGGCCAGAGGTTGAGCTGATGCGCGGCGTACCGGACCGCAAACGGCCACAGGAAATGGGGGGCAGCCGCATGGATCAGGGAGGTACGAGCGACCTCCATGACTAAGCCAATGCGGCGCTCAGCAACTCCATTCTTCCGGAAGCGTGAACGACTGGGCGATGCCGTGCTCCGCACAGTAGGCTGCCAAGAGGTTGGAGGAGAACTCACCACCTCTGTCAGAGTGCAGACGCAGGACAGGAAAGTCCGACCGGAACCGCTCGCGGAGCTGGAGACGAACTGCGCGGATCCAGGGGATCAAAACAGCAGGGACATCCGCCTTGCTCCGCAAGGGGAAGACCGTGGTGTAACGCGTGTAGTCGTCGACAACCAGCAGGAAGTACCGCTCGTGGCCCTGTCCCTGGACGCGGGCTGGGCCCCACACGTCCAGGTGGAGCGTCTGCAGTGGAGCCTCTGTGGGAGGAAACGAGGAGGAGTGAGGAGCGGCGCGCTGCCGCCCCTCGACGCAAGGAATGCAGGGCGGCGCAGGCGAGGGAGGGAGGGCAGGCAGAGACCTGGGGAGACCAGAGACCAGGGAGCGAGAGTGCATGCTACGCAGGCGAGGCAAGGAGGGGTGACCAAGGCGGTGGTGCCACAGGAGAGTGTCGTGCGACAAAGCGCGACACTCGCAGGGGGCCGCCTGCTGACCAGACGTAGACGCAGACGCAGCTACCTGAGGGGACGCAGTGGTCAGTGTGTACAGACTCGAGCCAGGTGCACGGGTGAACGTGGCCAAGTGCCGGCCCGTCCTAGCACACGTACAGTGAGTCACTCGCTGACTCGCAGGAGTGAACTGGTGAACCCCCCCATCCTGGAGGTCAGCTCCACTCACCAAGTTCGTAGAGAACGAGGGGAGGTAAAGACCTGACAGGAAGCCAGACGGGACGGCCGGACACGGCAGAACCGTGGAGTGGTGGGCAATGACTGGACCCCCAGAGGGGTCCGCCAGGGAGACCGGGACTGGCCGACTGAGCGGCGTGAGTGCGGTGCAGTCGCGAAAGAAGGAGCGGGAAGCTCCTGAGTCAAGGGTGAAGGTGTGCGAGACCGCAGTGGGCGCAGTACCAGAGAGAGCAGAGTCACCAGCACCTGAAGCCACGGCCTCACCAGTACCTAGAGCAGTAGACGTACTAGCACCGAGAGCAGCAGCCTCACCAGCACCTAGAGCAGGAGACGCACTAGCACCTAGGGCAGCAGCCTCACCAGGGTCAGGCGGTACGCACAGGTAACAGGCACGGTCAGCACTAGTAGACAAGGCATACATGGCAGTGAGAATAGCATCATAGTCAAGCGCAAAGATATCTACCCTCTGTCCATGCAGCTCCAGCCAGGTGGGGAGCTCAGCCTCGTCGCCAAACACTGTGCGCCAGGCGTCGCTCAGACGGGCGAAGCAGCGGGACTGTGTGTGACCAAGCGTCCCACAAGGCTGACCAGTCCTAGCACCTGTGCGAATGACGTACGGGCAGCGAACTGTACGGGTAGACCTGCTACACTGAGCGTACCACTCCTGGAGCTGCCGAGGCGTAAGTGGCTCGCGTGGACGCCCCTGCAGCTGCAGCTGGCCACTGCTAGACGATCCCAACCCCAGCTACGACGGCTACCGCGACAACCCCAGCTAGTATACCACTCACTAAGCTGCTGGGGCGTGAGAGGCTCGCGTGAACGTCGCTGGAGCTGCATCTGGCAGCAGCAGCGCGGGCAGGGCAGGCGTGGCAGGCAGGTAGGCAAGCAGGCAGGCAGGCAGGCAGGCAGGAAGGCAGGCAGGCAGACAGGCAGACAGACAGGCAGGCCGGCAGGCAGGCAGTCAGGCCGGTAGGCAGGCAGGCAGGCGCGCAGGCAGGCAGGCCGGCAGGCAGGCAGGCAGCCAGGCAGGCAGGCAGGCAGGCAGGCAGGCAGGCAGGCCGTCAGGCAGGCAGGCAGTCGCTCACCAAAGGCTGGGAGAGCAGGCGCTCACCGGGCGAGCAGGGCCGGCGCTCGACAGCGGCGACGTCGGGGCCGCAACACCGGCTGCAGAGCAGGGCCGAAGCAGCTGCAGGGCGGGGCCGCTTCAGCGGCAGGTCGGGGCCGTGGCAGCTGCAGGGCGGGGCCGCATCAGCGGCAGGTCGGGGCCGTGGCAGCTGCAGGGCGGGGCCGCATCAGCGGCAGGTCGGGGCCGTGGCAGCTGCAGGGCGGGGCCGCATCAGCGGCAGGTCGGGGCCGAGGCAGAGGGCCGCGCGCGGCTCGGCGCGGGCTGCGCTGACAGCGCGCTAAGCTGATGCAGGCCGCGCGCGGCCGCGCTAGGCAGTAGCGGGCCGCGCGCGGCTCGGCGCGGGCTCCTACGGACCTTAGTGCTCTGATACCATGTTAGAATCTAGCAGCAGGAATGGATGAACTAACAGGATGCAGGAGTACAAGTAGTAAACCCTAATTGGGTTGTACCCCATATGGGCTACCCCACTACAGCCTAAACAATATGCAACACATATAGTTTGACAATATATGCAGCAATAACAGTACAGTGATGGCTACCTAGCAAGAGCCAGCATGCAGGTATATATATAGATCACAGTACAAGCAGAGACTACAGCAAGTGTGGAAACGTAGGCACAAGGCCCAACAGAGTACAAAAGCGCTGATGATCACCAGACGGAAGTGCCTTGGTGAATATATCAGCAGTGTTGGCCCGAGTGGCCACGTGGCGAAGACGAAGCTGGCCTCGCTGCTGCAACTCTCGAGCCAGGAAGTAACGCAGAGCAATGTGCTTCGTTCTGTGCTCCAATCTGTGCTCCTCACACAAGGCAATGGCGGCCTTGTTGTCGACGTACAACACTGGAGGAGAACGAGGCTGCTCTCCCAAGTCAGTCAGCAGGTAGGTGAGCCAGCGTAACTCCTGTGCAGCCATGGCTGTGGCGTAGATCTCATCCTCACAACTGGAGCTGAGAACTGAAGACGAACGTGTAGAACGCCACGAAACTGAACCAGAGCCAAGGCTGAAGGTGTAACCCTGTGACGACCGCTGAGTAGCCTGGTCGTCAACCCAAGAAGCGTCTGAGTGTCCAGTGAGGACAACTGGGCTCGTCCCTCCAAGCACTAGCCCCATGCCTGATGTGCTGCACAAGTAGCGCAGTACCCTCTTAGCAGCAGCCATGTGCTCAGGTCGGTGCCGACCAGGAGCCACGTAGCGAGCCAGAAGACCAAGAGGGTACGCAAGGTCAGGTCGAGTGCAAGTCATCAGGTACATGAGGCAGCCGACTAGCTCTGGGTAAGGACCACTCGGCTCTACGGACTCGTCCGAAGGTGGAGCTGAGAGCGTGTGACCTGTAGCCAGAGGAGTGGCCTGTGCTGAAGACCAGGTGAAGCCGAAGCACTGAAGGACCTGCTGCACCATGTGTGACTGAGTCAAGGTGATGGTGCGACGTGCTCTGTCTCGGGTGATCTGCAAGCCAAGGTAGCTGCGCAGCTCACCCAAGTCTGTGCACGTGTGTCTCTTCTGCAGCTCCGACTTCACGTGGGCGAGAGCCTCAGTGTCAGCAGTGGCAAAAACCAAGTCGTCGACGTACACGAGGATGTAGAACGGCGGCAGGGAAGTGTCGGTGCGCAGAAACAGCGACGGGTCAGCAGTAGAAGGCGCAAACCCAAGAGCCGCAAGCGTAGTCCTCAGTGTGTCGTGCCACTCACGTGGCGCCTGGCGGAGACCGTAGACCGGCCGCCGGAGGCTCCACTGGGTACCAGGAGGGAACGACCCAGTGAAGCCCGGGGGGCGACGCAGCCAGATCTCCTCGTGCAGGCTACCCTGCAAGAAAGCTGTGCTGAAGTCAAGAGAGTGAAGCTCGTAGTCACGGTGAGCAGCAACGTGCAGCAGCACCCGAAGAGTGGTCATCTTCGGGGTGGGGGAGAATGTCTGGAAGAAGTCAACTCCCTCTCGCTGACTGAAGCCTCGAGCCACGTAACGCGCCTTGAAGACAGGCGGAGAACCCGGCGGCCGCTTCACCCTGAAAATCCACATGCCACTGACGATGTTCGCCCCAGGTGGGGGAACCTCGTCAACGTAGGTGCCTGTGGACTTCCAGGAAGCCATCTCTGCATCCATGGCTGCCTGCCACTGAGAGGAGTAGGGACCCTCTATCGCCTCTGCGTAAGAGCGCGGAGTCGGGATGTCTGGTGCATCCGGGTCTCCCTCAGGGGCAAGTAGCGAGGACACAAGATGAGGTAAAGCAGCAGCAAGACACTGGAACTCCTCCTGCCTGTCCTCAAGGACGTCCGTGCTAAGAGCACACGCACCCCCGACGGACGGAGGACAGACAGACTCAGACTCAGCAACAAGACTAGCGGCGTAGTCTAGACGACAGGCAGCAGCAAAGTCAACAAGCTCAGCGACCAAGGCAGACGCAGCAGCAGACTCAAACGACGGGTCAGTGACATTAGTGGCTAGCAGACGCGTGACAGTAGGGTGCTTAGTACGAAACCGGTCAGACTCAGGGTCCGGAACGGCAGGCAGAGAGGACGCAGGGGGAGACGGCAGAGGAACAGGCTGCAGAGCAGAGGAAGGACGACGGACAACAAGGTGTGCGCTGGGGACAGCCGGCTGACGCGCACGAGCGACACGACGAACGGGACGACCAGAACGAACAGGCGAGACAGGACGCGACGCAGGCTCACGACGCGTAGCAGGACTGCCTGTCTGCTCAGTGTAAGGAGAGGGAGCAGGTAGCGGTGAGCCAGTCTGTAACGGAAGACCAGTAGACGACGGGAGAGTAACAACCTGACGAAGAGCAGAGTCAGGCGGCGGCAGAGACGACGGAGACGGCGGAGCGAAGAACAGTCGTGTCGGCGCAGCTGCACCAGTACCGGCAGCTCCAGCAGCTCCAGTGCCTCCAGCAGCTCCAGTACCTCCAGCAGCTCCCGTACCTCCAGCAGCTCCAGAAGCTCCAGTCCCAGAGTCGACACCCCCAGTCCCAGGGTCTCCAACCTCTGTGTCTCCAGCAGCAGCACCCCCAGACCCAGCACCTCCAGTCCCAGGGTCTCCAGCCTCAGTGTCTCCAGCAGCAGCACCCCCAGAACCAGCACCTCCAGTCCCAGGGTCTCCAGCCTCAGTGTCTCCAGCACGAGCACCTCCAGAACCAGCGACTCCAGCACCTCCAGTAGACAAAGGACCAGCACCACTCCT